AGTTACTCAATGAACATAACATGAAAATGTAATTAGGTCATTGAACAAAAAATAATAATAATACAATTAGATCACTAAACACTCAAAACGTATCAATTTTCACATAATAACAGGTTACCATCCATTATCATGTTGCCTGTTTAGGTGAAAGGTGAGTTAAAATTTTAAATAATTTTTTATAATAAATTTAAATAATAATAAAAAACGCTACCCCTTTACTTCGTGGGGGGGGGGGGGGGGGGGGCACGAGAGAAATTTTAAGATGCACCAATGACGAATGATAATTTATTCGTCCTAAGTGAGCCTAATGAATTGGGCTAACGATTAATACTCCGTAAGTTTTATTGACAAATAGTCTTTATTGTTATTCTTTATTTTATTTAGGGAAAAAAAATGGTATGCCTTTTCCGTCCTAGTGACATACAGCTCCAAAGAACCTATATACTCTTTAATTTCATTTTCGCACTCAACGAACAGAAACCACTAAATCCATATTCTTATAAAAGGAATATACCAACATTAAATCAATAAATAGATATTCGCATATTTTCTCCTTTGTTTATTTATATATATTGATTCGATTACTTTTTCTATTCTAAACTTAAAATGTGAAACAAAAAAAAAAAAAAAAAAAAAAAAAAAACAAACAAACTTCTGATTCTTTTTATTAAAAATAAATATAATATATGAATTTAGCAGAGTTATAATTGCAATATTAGTGGATGGTCCGAGCACAGGCTGGAATGAGATGTTTGAACCTCTGGATTATGTTATTGAAGCTTTAATGGATGGTACAGTTGGGATTCCTAGAATGCGCGCGATTACTGAAGGAAATTTTAGTCACCGGATTTGTCCCTCCTCCTTAAACCAAAAAATAATAATAATAATTGGGGGCCCTTAGGGTTGGGGTTCAACCTTTTGGAAGAATAATAATAATAATTGCAACCGGTCTAGCCTCTGTGATTAATGCTCAGTTGAGTCACCATGATTTACAACCTCCCACCGCTCTGTCGGGCCGGGGTGTGGGGGACCCTTAGGATTGGGGTTCAGCCTTTTGGAAGAATAATAATAATTGCAAAATGAATTTAAGCAATGTACGTAAAAATAAAAGTATATAGTAATATAGTATTGTTTCCTATAGTACCTTATTTAAATTGAAATAAATATCAAAATTAAATAATTTTACTTAAATAAGTTAACCGCGTGAGTTATTAGACGATAATCAAACTGCTAATATAATTGTATGGTTAATGCATATCGGATAGAATCTTAATTAATTTTACAGTAATAATGGTAAGATGTCGGATACTCCGTATTATATATATATATATATAAAAAGTTTCATGAATTGGATCAGAGTTAAATCCAAAATGAATATAAAGTTAAATTGAAATATATACCAAACATAGTCAAACATAGTTGGCAGTATTGAAAATTGAACATTAACAGGTAATATTTACTCATTTACGAGTGATAACACGTAAATTTGAGTCAATACGGATTGCAAAAATAAAGTAAGGTTCCTATTTTGTAAGTCAATGTTGACATAATGAGATTTGGCTTTACTTGTTTCTCGTTAATTTTTTTTTACTAATTATTTATTTTTATCAAGTAAAATTTATATATTTAAAAATAATTTAAATTTTATATTTAAGTTCAAGAAACCAAATCTAAAGAACAAAAAACATAAACAATAAATATAAAATTATTCTTCATTTGCTTATTTTCTACCCCATTCATCATAATTTACGAATTAGTTAACAATAGTTAATTAAGGTTATTTATAATTCTTTTATTTAAACATTTAAGCTACGTTTATTTTAATTATCAACTTTTTAATTCTAAATGCACTCTTATTTCTCTGTTTCTCTTCCTTCAATTTTACATTTCTCTATTTTTTTAAAATCCATTTCATAAATACACTCTTAGTATAGTATTAATGCATAAAATAGTAAATGATCAAAATGATGGTTTGATAATAATATTTGTAGACATTATATATTGGATTATTATAATAAATAAATTTGATTTCATATAGATTTTAATTAGTAGAGATTTGTTAATTATTTAAAAAAAATATAAATATTGGGCATATATTTTTGCGCATTGCGCATAGAAAAAACTAGTATTACTATAGGCTTCAACTTAAAATATTGTTTAAAAAAATATGTAATTATCAAATCTTAATATATTTTAAGGAAAATTTGTAATTTATGTTCATAAAAAATATGTCAATTATCAATGTCACTCATGAATTATTAGTGCAGTGGTTTAATGTTGCTCATCAATTTTCAAAAAGTTATATATATTGTCCCTCATGTAGTGTAAATGTTGTCCCCCAATTTCCATTCGTACTGTACGAGAGATGTAATATATGTACCAGTTTAACAATTGAAGAGTAATGTTTACATTATTAATAATTAATGAATAGCATTGATAATTAAAATATTATTAAGGGGTATAAATTATATATTTTAATGTTTCAAGTTCCAACTACTAAAGTCATCAAATGTCTGTACCGAAACAGGGGGAAAGGAGGTAACTAAAAGTATTCATAACTTCTCCTTGGACGGAAGATATTTAGTCAAAATGTGGTGTGAGACCGTCGGGCCTCAATCCGTGAGACAAATCTTTGATTAATGAATTGGATTTTTATTTCATTAATTAAAAATTTATCCTGTTTTACGAATTGAGATCCGTGAAATGATCTCATACAAGTTTTTATCATATATTATATATATTTTTTGTATCCACTTCTTCATCAATTTCCACTCAAGAGTCTACACGGGTTTAAATCATTGATTCAGTAAGTAGTGGTAGTGTAAAGATTATACTCAAAATGGATATATTCCTTATGCACATTAAATTTTTTGACTATATTTATCAAATTACTGTGATTTATATCCTCCTAAATACTTTGTTAAATTATAGTGCAAGGGATTGAAAATTCAACCTAGATGAAATACCCCACTCAAGGGGTGCAAATTAAGAGTATCGTCCCTTCCCCCACTTTAAGCTTCACTCTGCACCGCCCGAGCTTCACCAATCAAACCCATCTTTACTTTAGTGATATGCTTTAACTTTTAGTTTTTACCCACCTATTTTCACAACTACCTTTTCCATAAAGCAAGTCAACTATATTCATAAATTTCAATACCAAACTACAAACCACCTCATCACAGTATTTTCTCTAAAAATTATTATAAAAAATAAATTATAATGTGTATTAATTGACCTATCAAATTTCAAATACTTACATTAATGTCCATAATTTTTTCTTTAAAAAATAAAAATAAAAATTTAATTGGTAGGCAAACTCTACACATTTTGTTACTAGTAAATCAAAGTTTATAAAATTATTTTGAATTTTGAATAAATTATATTAAAGTACTGTATTTTCAATATATTCCGAGATCAATGAACAAGATTGATCATGCCTTGATTAGAGCCACTCGTTCTCAATCTGGTTCTCTTTGTTGGTTGTCTTCAAGTCCTTATTGTATTGAACATTTACTCTAATGAAGTTATTTGAATTTCCTCTAAAAAAAAACTATGTTCATTAATTTACAAAAGAATACTCCTATAATTATTTATATTGTTTGTAATAAATGTTAGTTTAAGACATTTATTAAAATTAGTATATATATTATTAAATTAATAATTAATATTAATACATTTAACATATGATAATTGCATACTCATTTTGTGATTGTTACGTTACTAAAAGTTTTAGTATTTTTATTTATTATTAAAGTTGTATTTATATACCAATTAGATGAATTTTCTTATTAACTATTGGCATTTCTTCTTATATTATATTATATATGTTCATTATTTCAATACTACCAAGAATAAATGAATAATGCATGTTTGTATCAAATATTACTTTACTTAATATTAAACCACATATAAGTATACAAACGTATCACGTTTTGTATCAATACTATGCTTATTAGCATGATAAAAATATTATAGTCTAGAAACTTAGAAAGTATATACATGAAAATGATACGGAGTAGGATTTAAATGCAGGTACGTATGCAAACTAAACAAATAACCACAAGAGTTTCAAATACAAATATATTAAACTTTTTTTTTGAGTACTACTTACTCCTGTTACAAATATATTAAACATAAATACATTGAAAACAAAAAGAAATATAGTATTGACATTATAATAAATAAAAAAAAATGTTTTTTTTTTTTATAACAATTGTAACTAGGGTGTAAATGAGTCGAACAGCTCGCGAGCCGCTCGGCTCGAGCTCGAGACAAACTAGAGCTGACTTGTTTCGTAATTGAACTGAATTCGAGCTAAAATGTTTTAAGCTGGTGGCTCGTCAAGCCGTTCGTGACTATATATATATATATATATAGCCGAGGCTCGGTCAAAGCTTGACTTAAGCTCGAGCCGAGCTCAAACTTCAATTTTTGAACTTGAACTAACCTGAGCTTGAGCTCGACTAGCTTGTTTACACACCTAATTAAAACTTGATCCAACACATAATAGTCAAACATTTATTTAATACGTTACATGTGAAATATTTACTCATCTTCAAATAATGAATGTTAATTTGATTTTTTGTGTGTGTAATAATTAGATAAAAATCTTATCATGCATTCAATAGGAATGTTTCTATAATAATTACTAAAATATTTCTAAATAGTATTATTTTATTCTTTTCTATGAAATAATAGATGGAAAACAAAGGCAAGTTAGTAGCTTTCAAAAAAAAATAATAAATATATTCTTGTAAATGATAAAGAAGAACAAATAGTTTTGATGCAAAAATTCGATAGCATAAATCCCAAGAATGTGGTATTGGAGCAAAGGACATCCTTTATCCTTAGCCTAAGTAAGCACTAGAGCTTGACTGCAGCAGCTGAATTAATGTAGGCCCCACCGATTAACCCGGGCGGGCCCCACGCGCATGTGCCAACTGTATCCTATTTTCACCTTCTCTTTCTCCCCTGGATAGGCAAAATCCCGGTTATGGAAAGTGAAGGCTCTATAAGCCAACCCACCCCCCACCACTCACTTTCCTTCCTCTTTTCGCACCCCAAAAAAGAGAAATTCCATTAAAAATCTTACCTTTTTACTCTCTATATTCCTCCATCTCCGCCGTTCAATCTGCCGCCTCAAAATTCTCTCTCTTTCTCTTTCTATAATTCGCACCCAGTCTTTATCCTTATTGTGCCAGTGATATTTTACTCATGTATATGTATTTTGTTCATGTATGGTGTATAATTTGAGTCGAAACTGTCGTGTGCTAGAAGAACCTGCCAGTTTTCTTCTGAAATTGTCTTTTGTAGCTGGAGTTTTCTTGAATTTCGTTTAGAAGATGAAGAAACTCTATCTGGGTATCTCTGGTTTGGCTTTAAGATCTGTGGGTTTGTTGTTTTTTCTGTTTGTTGTTGCTGTGCCGGCGGCGCTGTCACAGTCGCCGGACGTCGGGGTAATGCAGGAGTTGAAGAAGAGTGTCAACCCGCCGGCGTCGCTCGGGTGGGATGACCCGGACCCGTGCAAGTGGAAGCAGGTGGAGTGCGCCGGCGGGCGGGTTACGAAGATCCAAGTTGGGAAACGGGGCCTCTCCGGCTCTCTGCCGCCTAATCTCGGAAACCTCACCGCCTTAACGATCTTCGAAGTGATGGAGAATGGGCTCGCCGGAGCTCTGCCCAGTCTTGCTGGGTTGGGCTCGCTTCAGAGGATCCTCGTGAACGGCAACGGCTTCACTTCAATTCCCCCCAATTTCTTCGCCGGTATGAATTCCTTGGAATCGGTTTCTCTAGACAACAACCCTTTCTCTCCATGGCCGTTCCCGGAAAGCCTTAAAGACGCTTCAGCTCTCCGGAGCTTCTCCGCTATCAATTGCTCCATTTCCGGGCCCTTGCCTGATATTTTCATTTCCAATAATTTCCCTAGCTTAACAGATCTGCGTCTCTCCTTCAATTCTTTATCCGGGCCTCTCCCCCCGAGCTTTTCCGGCTCTTCTTTGCAGACTTTATGGCTAAACGGTCAAAACGGTGTTTCTTCTAGACTAAATGGCACCATATCTGTTCTGCAAAACATGACATCTCTTACCCAAGTTTGGTTGCACGGGAACTCATTTTCCGGTCCAATTCCAAACTTATCCGACCTTAATTCCTTGCAAGATTTCAGTGTGAGAGACAATAGTCTTACCGGTCCGGTCCCGGATTCATTGACAAAGCTCAGTTCTCTGAAAGTTGTGAATTTGACTAATAATATGCTTCAAGGGCCGACCCCCGAGTTTCCAGACACTGTTCAGGCTGATATGGTGGCTGACACTAATAGTTTTTGTTTGTCACAGGCAGGTAAAGCTTGTGACACAAAGGTTAATGTATTGTTAGCTGTAGCTAAGGATGTCGGATACCCTATCCAGTTTGCGCGGGATTGGAAAGGTAATGATCCTTGCACTCCATGGAGGGGTATAACATGTGATAATGGAGGAATTTCGGTTGTGAATTTTCAGAAATTTGGGCTTATAGGGACGATTTCGCCTAATTTTTCATCTATCACGACGCTGCAGAGGCTGATTTTGGCGAATAATAATCTCACTGGAAATATCCCTAACGAGCTTACGGATTTGAGTCAACTTAAGTTATTGGATGTTTCGAATAATCAGCTGTATGGTAAAGTCCCTAACTTTAATAGTAATGTGAAATTGATAACAGATGGAAATGTCAATATAGGTAAAGACGGTCCTCCTCCTTCAGTGGTACCATCTCCTGGTGGTTCTCCCGGGGGAGGTGGTGGAGGAACACCCTCCGGAGGAGGGGAAAGCGGTGGTAAGAAATCCTCTACAGGAGTGATTGTTGGTGCGGTGGTTGGTGGTGTGTGTGGTGTAGCTGCTTTGGCTGGGCTGTTTGTCTTTTGCTTGTATCGAACTAAGAAGAAGCGGTCGGGTAGAGTGCAGAGTCCACATACTATGGTTATTCATCCTCGCCATTCAGGGTCAGAACACGATGCGGTTAAGATCACGATTGCTGGCTCGAGTGCTACTGGAGGAGTAAGCGAGACTTATAGTCATGGAAGTAGTGGACCGAGCGATGTTCATATTATCGAGTCCGGTAGCTTAATGATCTCCATCCAGGTTTTGAAGAGTGTTACTAACAACTTCAGTGAAGATAATATACTTGGAAGAGGCGGGTTTGGTACTGTTTATGGCGGGGAATTACACGATGGAACGAAAATCGCTGTTAAGAGGATGGAATCCGGGGTGATGGGGGATAAGGGTTTGGACGAGTTTAAATCCGAGATTGCTGTCCTTACAAAAGTGCGCCATAGGCATTTGGTTGCACTTCTCGGTTATTGCTTGGATGGAAACGAGAAGCTCCTTGTCTACGAGTACATGCCTCAGGGGACACTTAGCCGGTATCTCTTTGACTGGAGAAAAGAAGGATTGAAACCGCTCGAATGGATGAAAAGGATAATAATCGCACTCGATGTGGCTCGAGGTGTCGAATATTTGCACGGCTTAGCCCAACAAAGCTTCATTCATAGAGATCTTAAGCCATCAAATATTCTTCTCGGAGATGATATGAGGGCTAAAGTTGCAGATTTTGGACTCGTTCGTCTTGCTCCTGATGGGAAAGCTTCAATTGTTACAAGGTTAGCTGGAACTTTCGGTTATCTTGCTCCAGAATATGCTGGTAAGTCTTTTACGAGATTTAGTTCTTTTATTTTATTTTATCATTGATTGCATTGTGGTGTTTGAACATAAATTTTACAGGAAAAAACATTCTTACTATCTTCAAACAATATCATAAATTTTCCAGGAAAAAACATTCTTTTGTTTCTGTTTGGCAGAGCTTATAGCTTATTTTAAACTACTAATGAGTTATTATATTATTTCTAATTGTAAGGTTACAATAGATTAGCAGTTCTTGCCTATCATTTTGTTGGTTTATGAAAAATAGCAGTTCTTCGAACTTATTTCACATCTGTTTTTTGTAGTTTAGTTTAAATTTGCTTGCTAGATGTTAACATCACAAGTCTATCACCATTGGCATAACGTATACATTTCAATGTTCCAATAACTTTTATGATGGATACAAAATTTATTATGATTTTTTGGGCAGTTACGGGCCGAGTAACAACCAAAATTGACGTATTTAGCTTTGGAGTCATTCTGATGGAGATAATTACTGGAAGGAAAGCTCTAGATGAAAGTCAGCCCGAGGAGAGTATGCATCTTGTACCATGGTTCCGAAGAATGTGGGGGGACGAGGAACAATTTAGGAAGGCGATTGACCCGACGATTGATCTAAATGAAGAAACACTAGCCAGTGTACGAACTGTTGCCGAGTTGGCTGGTCACTGCTGTGCTCGGGATCCCCATCAAAGACCCGATATGGGGCACGCGGTGAACGTTCTTTCGTCTCTCGCTGAGCTCTGGAAACCATCGGAGCCCAACGAGGATGACATATACGGGATCGACTTCTTCCTCAGCTTGCCCCAGGCAGTTAAGAAGTGGCAGGCTCTCGAGGAATCGAGCGGGTTCGATGCGTCTTCTTATCCCGGGAGCAGTGACAATACCCAGACAAGTATACCCACACGCCCGTCTGGGTTTGCAGATTCGTTCACATCATCAGATGGGCGGTAAGAACAGGGCCGGGCCGGGCATTGGAATTTGCCATCAAGTGGATGGCACTTAGGAGGTTGGTTGGTTCATTTATTCTTTGTGTTACGTTCCTAATCCGATGAATTGAATTTCCTTGTCTATTATACTTCTACGATGGCGTTTGATTGTAGCATGACAATGTTAATTTAGTTTATGAAACATCCTTTGTTTAGTTTGTGGATCATGTCTATCATTACTGCATAATGTGGTCCTGCTCATATTATAATAATAATTAATCAATAGCAGATAGCAGTGAAATAAGTCAGCACTGCCGCCCTTAAATTAAGGGTGGGTGTTTTGTTGTTAGATTATTATTATTATGGGTGGGTTTGGTCACAGGCATCCTTAAATTAAGGCCGGAAATGGTGTGGATGTGTAATATAAAGTAATTTAATGGTATGGTATAGTATATATAGTATAATACTATAATGTTGTGTGTACTAATATAAGGTGGTTAGAATAAGTGTTGTGTGATTTCCTGACGCGTACGGTACTGACAAGAGTAGGAAATGGTTGGTATAAAATAATGAAACCAGACGGCGTGTCTAATAATATTAGTAAGCAGCGTATTATATATTGTTGTTTTTCTATAATTTATCTTATTATAAGTGCAGTAGTTTTAATGTTTTCTTGACACGCGTATTATTGTGGGTGCATGAATTGCTTTAATTGTTTTATATATAATATTAACAATATATATCCTAGCAAAACTACTGCTTGCATACAAAACTCGGTAAGCTTTAACATTTTAGGACCGTTTTATTGGTGGACTCTTTGGCTTGTTTCGTCTAAATTGCCGCACCTTAGCCCACCAAATGCATAATAAAAAAAATTATTAGCATAAATAAATGTTACAATATCAAATTTGTCTTGTGGACTTGGAGAAGGGGAATGAGATGTTCATGTTGGCCAGCCTTCCTTAGACCCTTAGTCTAAAACAAGACAAATTGAGGGAGATGCACTCGGTTTTAAGATTACAATGAACCAAATATAATTTATTAATAATAATTATAATATAAATATTTAATATTTAATTTTTCTATGTACACGTCAAACTTTAGTAAAATTTTACTGATTTATATCATGTGATGTGATTATCAACTAACTAATAGGTTCAAATATATCAAAATGAGAATTTTTTTAAATTTAAGGTTTAATTTAAGTTTTAAAAATTTTAAAGAATAAAAGAAACAGAAAAAAAAATGAAAGATTGAAATAAACGCAACTATAAATTTATACGACTTCAACAAACTTATATAAGCTCCAAGTAATGTTCCCCATTTTTTTCATTTAAAACACAAATTTGAATTGTTTTCCGATAAAATTAAAAAATTCATTTTCATTTTCCAATTTAAAAAACATTTCAAAATAAACACGAACTAAATTTTTGTTATATAAATATATTTTGTGGAAGACAGAGAAATTTAAATGGTAAACTGCCAAACATTTTGGATAAGAAATGCAAGTCACGTGTTAATGTAAATCCGAACAGTAACGGCCGAAGATGGGTGCGCGTTTGTTTCGCGTAAGGGAAGAATGAGCCCATTATATTATCCATAACTCCATAAGCGTGTCCCGCTAGAAACACACATATTAATATTCAAACAGGGAATAAGTCAAAATTTAATAAAATGAATCTTATTGAGTTGCATGCATCCCATCCCGGGAGAGGACCCTACAACGTCAAATAAAACATGTCTGTAGTATTATGTGGCAATTATGACATGTTAGAAACCAATGAATCTTTCCAATGAAAATATTCCGACAGAATAGCATTTCATAAGGTATAGAGACCGACCAAATTTTTTATTCTTCAAATGGCATATGGTACATGCTATTGTAAGACTCGGGGTTAATTATCAAACAATATAGGTGGGTAACGGTTATCAACTTATATCAATAATTATCAGGATGTTATATTTGGCAAATTATGTTCTTGTTTGTCCAGCCCAGTTTCTTCCCTCCGTTGATGGCTCCACCGCAACTCTGAACGCTGCTTATGCACTGTGGATGCAGCAGGATCAATCGATCCTTTCTATGCTCATCTCTTCTCTCTCGGATGAGTGTATGTACTTGGCTATTGGTAAGGACTCCTCACGTGATGTCTGGACTGCCATTGAAGCTGCCCTGGGTTCTTCTACACGAGCTCGCTCACTCAGTTTGCTAAGTCAGCTTCAAGGACTTCGACAAGGTGACTCCACCACTGCAGAATATCTTGGGCGTGCTCAGGTCATTATCGAGGAATTGGCTCTCGCCGATCGGCCGTTGTCGTTGGACGAACAAAATCTTTACGTGTTCCACGGTCTCCGATCGGAGTTGAACAATATTACAAGTGATATACATTCATCGTGGCAAAGAAAAATCTTGTTAATAGTTTCTATTTTTTTTGTGCATTTTATTTAAAAAATGTGAAATTATAATTAGTATTTGTTAGGAACAACTGTAAATTCAATTTTGATAATACTAAAAATTTGGGAAATTTAGCCCGCAATTCTTTTACTCTGTTTAGACTTAGAATATTCTTCAGTACGAATCGTATGAATGGTTACAATTCGAATTGCTAACAGAGTTCAAGTCGAAGAGTTCAAGACAAAGGATATACCTATTGAAGACCGAAAGGTTGAAACATACAGCCGAAGAGTGGAAGTGCCAACCTTGTCAAGTAACAATATGTCGAATAGTAAGAACAACTATTCGAACGAAATATTAAGAAAAGCTTAAGGCCGGCGGCTCGAAGTAATAACTTGAAAGGTAAGAGTTGACCATTTGAAGGAACTGTTCGAGACATTCTCTGAGCAAACAGTTCGAAACCTTAAGAAGTTAGAAGCTTTATGTAAAATGTTACCAAGTAAAAAAGAATCTTAATTAGGTACACATTTCAAGGTAGATTTTCCTTAAAAAGCCTATACAATATGTGCAAAGCAAAAAATGTGTGACTATGTGTGTGTGTGTGTATATATATATATATATATAAAATACTATGGGTCGGTCCCAAGCTGTGCTGATCGAGGCCCAAGACCGGCCCAGGTCCAAATTTTGACCAACTCTACTTGTAACTCTTCACACCGAAACCGATAATATTTACATAATTATAGACTAACGTAATTATTATATGAATTCTTATGCAGTAATACTATATTACGGAGTATATTATACGAAAAGTACTTAAAATAATTTAAAATAAATATGATTTGTTCCATAGAAATTAGACAAACATAATTTGTCAAATATTCAATCTCCCATACCATATTATTCTGTAAACGCCGCTTCCGTCAAGTCAAACAACCGGTTCGTACATTGTGTTGTTGACGGATCGACCGCCCTCTCCGTCAACACACAAGAATTAAAAATCAACCTTCTTCATTCTATAGCCCCTGCCTATTTACGTAGCTGTCCAAATGTACATGCATATACAGAAGTACAATACAATAACATTTACATAATATTTCACAAATTTACTTTTTTACAAACACTTTTTCGATCAAAATCGTCACACATTATTACACAAGTGCGATATTTACTCACTGCACACAATAATAACTAGGAACTTAAGTTTTAATTACATTATAAAATTTAGTTCACGAGTATATGTTACATTGGTCTTATATATTGGTTTGAATTTTTATCAATAAAGAACATGAGACGTCTCAGTTAAATGTAAACTCAAATATTGAATATATACTACATTGTAATAGAATTGATAGTACTATAAAAAATGTAAACGCAAATAAATAAGTCTCAAATTCTTTGTCGGAAAAAATAAGTTAAAGAAAAATTGGGATGGATATAGTCATATACACGCAATTAATTGGTTTGATTGTATTTTATTAATTTATTTAATATAATTATTCCATTCCCAAAAGAACGCAATGGCCATTTCAAACTATACTACACGGTCAACATTCAAAAACTCTATTCCGCTCTTAAACTCTTGAGACACGTTCTTCAGCGTGTGTTTTCTTTTTAATTACTATTATTAATATATCTCTTTTAATTTCACTTGCACCGCTGTTGTTTTTAACAATTACATATTGGCCCTTTCTATTTTACGCCAAAACAAGAAATTTAATCCTAAATATTTGGTTTCTCCTGTACTTCTTGCTCATCTGCTATACTAAACAATTTTGACTGAAAATGGATCTTTTTTTTTTTTTTTTTTGAGATAGAAAATGGATTTTTTATTTGTGTGACAAAGTTTTGTATGATTGGGGTAATTAAGTAATTCTAGTAAAGTTAGTTAGATTGTTGACTTAATAATTACAATATTACAAATTTGACATTTAGTACAAACTATCGGGTAGTGATTATAGGTTTTCCTCGTCTAATTGAGGGGTACGAGTGTAAGATTTAGAGCATTAGGGGATTAAATTGTTGTTATTAGAAACTCTAGGGGGTGAAGTGAAATTAAAAGATGAACCGCGTGGCTTCAAATGCCATCCCTCTCCATCTATAAATAAGACTTGTTCAAATAAATTTTGTTCACTCTAACACAAACCCAGAAAAGAAATCACATTGGCTTCAAGCTTTTTTGTCATAAAGAATCAGTAGTTCAGAAATTCGATTCAAGATTCAAGAATGTTGTCATTATGGAAGAGGAGAAGATCAGGGAAGAAGAAACAGAATGTAGAAGACGATAATAAAAATGGCGGCGGCGGCAGGGAGCTGAGGATTCCGTCCAATTTTGTGTGTCCGATCTCGCTGGACCTTATGAAGGATCCGGTGATGTTGTCGACGGGGATCACGTACGACCGGGACGGCATCGAGGCGTGGCTGGAGGCCGGGAACCGGACGTGCCCTCTCACCAAGCAAGTCCTGCTCGCCGGTTCAGACCCGGTCCCAAATCACGCCATAAGGCAGATGATTCAGGACTGGTGCGTCGAGAATGCCGATTCCGGCGTCGAAAGGATCGCCACGCCTAAAGCGCCGATCGCCTCACGAGAAGTGGCGGAGATTCTATCGAAGATCGAGGCCGCCGGAGATGAATTGAACGGCGAAACGTGCAGGGAATTGGTGGTGAAACTCAGGACGGCAATGGAGGAGAGCAAGAGGAACAGGAAACGTATCATTGCTAATAGCGCCGGTAAAGTCCTTTTGGATATCTTCGGCTCCTTCTCCTCTAAGGACAATAATTTCCTCGACGTTTTGGAGGAAATCTTGTCAACGTTGGCAACGATGTTGCCGCTCGACGCTGAATCCCGGTCGGGAAACATCGTAACCGATTCCTCGCTACGCAGCTTAGAATGGTTCATGAACAACGGCAATCTCCCTAGCCGAAGCAACGCAGTTTTGGTGCTAAGAGAGATCCTAGCCGCCGCAGACCAAACAAAATGCGACGAAATCGTGGATTTCACTCTAGAACCGCTAGTCAATCTGGTAAAAGATCCAATTTGCCCGGCGGCCACCAAGGCAGCGCTGCTGTCAATCTACTACCTAATCTCCAAATCCTCCACTCCCGCGGCGGCGAAAGCCGCCGCGGCCCTCTCCAAGCTAGGAATCGTAGCAACAATAACCGAAACGCTGGTGGATTGCGACCGGAGCGTGTGCGAGAAGGCGCTGGCGGTTCTGGACGGCGTCTGCGGCATCTCCGCCGCGGCGAGAGAAACGGCCATTAACCACGCGTTAACCATACCGGTTTTGGTGAAGAAACTGCACCGAGTTTCGGAGTTGTCAACCGAGTTCTCAGTCTCGGTTCTATGGAAACTCGGCAAGTACGATGAAAAGGTGGTGGTTGAGGCTCTGCGAGTGGGGGCGTTTCAGAAGCTTTTGCTGCTCTTACAAGTGGGGTGTAGCGAAACCGCGAAGGAGAAGGCGGGCGAGCTGTTGAAGATGATGAATGTGCACAAGGATAGCGAAGAGTGTATCGAGTCAGGGGATTTCAGAAATCTTAAACGGACATTTTAATTTGAACCTTAACACCATTAGATCATTGGTTATATATTACCTTAATTAGGAGTTAGGAGATCAGAGTATATTTCTTTATTTATTTGTTTATACTATGAAATACTTGTAGAAATTAAAGTAAAGAAATCAAGATACGTTCTTATATTAATGTAAACATCTTCTACTAATAATACGGAATGGTATTTGATTGGGCGGTTATATTGTTGCTTCAATATGCGGTGGTTTTTATTTTTTAGTACATTTAGAATTAAGGACTTAGAATTGATATGTCATGAAAGTGATGCAATTCTTAGTCCTAATTATTGTTTAGATGATCATATAAGTGGCTTTTAGGCTATAATACTATCTTCTCATACCATTGATTGTGCATGTGATTTTTCCATAATTTTATAAATTTGATTGCATTTATAAGATAATGTTTTCTATTAAGTCCTACTGTCTTTATGTTGCATTGTGTTGTTATTTTGTATATATGTGTTAGTCTTATTTTGTTACTTATCGTTGCTCACTACTAGTTATGGTCCTTATAGATTGCTTAGTTTCTCGTTGGTTCCATTGTGTTACTGTCTAATTCATAGTTATTACATATTATATGCAATATTTCTCTATCTCGAGAGAATGATATTATGCCCATGCACTCACACTCTATGATAAATTAGGTGCATATGGCAAATTGTTGCTTTGTGGTATGTACTGCAGTGATGCAGTGATCTGAGTCAACTAATTAGAGTCGCATAATGAAATTATGAACAACACAGATAACACCAATATATATGCACTTTTGTGGAGAGATCTAGGTCCACCAATGGGCAAAACCCCAAACTCGAGGATTGGTGATGAACTAGATGACAAATATTGCAATACGTGTATCGAATTTTAAGGATAAATTCGACTTTCAAAAAAAAAACACAATAAACTACTTTCAAAATGTTGTTCCAAGTAGTTTTTTCATTTTTTGCTATTTGGGACCAACTAGCTATGCCACTAAAATATAATTGATCGATCATTTTTCGAACACCTTCATTATCTAGACATGTGTAATATCCTAGTTGGAACAGTGCAAACGACCTTGAAGCATGGATTTAGAAAAGTTATATCATATTGCTTTAAGATCGATGAATAAAATCAAATAATTTATTTTTTAGAGATTCTATGTGTTATGATAAGGTTATGATTATTGGCTAGATGGATCAATACATCGTATCAATTGAACGACGTAAGCGAAGCCTAACGTAATTGATGAGGCAATACTAATTGATGAGGCGAACCCAATAAGGTATAAATGATAACTCTAACAAGGTTTTTTTTTTTTTTTTTTCCTTTATTCTTTTTCTTTTTCTTTTTGACTAATCCAACAAGTTTAATACTACAATTTGATTGTAATAATAATAAAATAAAAACAATTCATTTTGATTTATCTTGGATGCTGATAATATAGATTTTGACGTGAGTTCATAAATATACAAAAGAGTAAAGCACTAGTTTAGAATAATCATAAATCGCAAGGGTCTAAAAGCAATTATCGCAACTTTTAACTAGAAACGTAACGGGTTAGGGAATAAAATGCACTCCCAAAATCTCATCACAGTCATCGTCCCCAACACTACGCCACGCCAGACAACGTCACCGACGATCAATGGCGCTCAGATCAAGTGGCCGTAAATTATCCTTCAATATTCTCACGGCCTCCGCCGACGACGACGGCGACGACCTTGACTTGTTATCCACTGCAGGCCCTGCTCTTTTTCGATCCAAATCTGATCCTCCCCGACCGACTCCGGTGGACGACGCTTTAAACCCTCCCTGCGGCCACACAAAAACCCGCAAAAAGAGGAAGAAGAATCAGAAGAAGGCGTTTGAATATTCTCCGATTTCCGAAAATTCGACCGCGGACGAACCTGTACGCGGTGGCTCTCCTTTGGAGCCGTTAAATTTCGATAGCAGGTGTTATAATGGCAGTTTTTTGCAGAGCAGTGTCGTAGTTTGTGAGGAAGTAGCGGCTACGGGGGCCCCGAGGGAGGTGTCTGATAGTAATTGTACTGTGAGCTCAATATTAGGGCCGCAGTATAGCGAACTCCGGCAGAGGAATACGGTTCTAAGTGGAGCGTGCGAAGAGGGAGTGGCGTCATTTCCAGTTAGCAAGGAAAGCGAGAGCAATGGAGATGGCGGGAGCGCAGTGGAGAAAGTGGATCCTATGACGAGAGTGGAAATGATGAATGGGGATGGGAGTGTGGGGAGGAATTTGGAAAAGGAAGTCTCGTTGGACTGGAAGAGATTGATGGCTGAAGATCAGAACAGTAAGTTCTTGTATTGTTATATGCTGAGTTTCTTTCACATTCATCTGCTAATTGGTTGTTATATATTTTAGTATTTCTGAATTACAGTTCCTTATGTTGTTGAAATGATCTATAGTTGTGTGATTTAAATGTATTTGATTTATTTCCTTGTGTGGCATTCCCAATATTGCAACTGGACAAAACACTGTAACTTAGGATCCATAGACTATTACAAGATCCTGCAATATGCTTGGACAATTTGAGCTTTGCTAAGTGTTTTATGTGCATATTAGGCAAAGTGAAAAATTCCTTTGGTGGATTGCAAAATGAATATTAGGAACCTGTATTAGTTTCACTTAATGTTTGGTAATATGTTGCTATGAGTTGGTCCATGGGAGTGCAACCACCAATTTATAGGTCAGGTTTCAACTCCATGGAGGTCTCCCTGGGTACGCAACAAGGACATTGATCTCACTGTATGTTGATGGGACATTTAGCACATGCCTGTGAAGATTGCTTGGGTCTAATGTCGTGATACATGTTTGCCTAAAAAAATGTTTTCCTCTATGCAGCCTATGATATTAGGACCATTTTGAACATATGAACCATGGATGAATGAAAGTGGGGATAGAAATAAGTTCCTTGGAAAGTTATATTATTTTAGAGTTCTCCAATTGTAAGGAGACCCAAGTAATATAGAAAATTTCCATTCATTGTGTTTACAAATAATGGAAAACCCAATATAATTGATCCCTGTAACCTAAAGAAAGTTTGGAAGTCCTGCTGATATCCTCTTATGCACTAATTTGAGAGTAGTTACCAAATTGTTATATCATCCGAAGCTTTGGCATGTACAGTTAATATGCAAACATGAACAGTTATATAGAATGCTTCATGCAGACCTGTTATAACACAAATGCATTGTCATGTTTGCAAATATTATTCTAGCCTGGTTTTTGGTTTTGTTTTAGATTGTTTGTTCAATTGTAGCAGATTGTGACCTGTACCAACTTTGTTACCTTTTGACGTATCTAGTAAGACTATATGTTCTTTAACCCAAACAAAGTGCTGATCTCTGCTTTACAAGGGTTACCAACCATATGCCTACTCTTATACTTCAAGTGTTTATAATGCAACAGTGAAAGTCTAAAGCACAGCATTCTTCTGCATGTTGTGGGTTTTCATTTTTATTCTTTCTGGATATTAATTGAGTTAAACACAACTTGTCCAAAAAAAAGAAAAGAAAAGAAATATGGGTTAATAATTTGCCTTTGAATTTGCATTTCACTTGCTTACCTCATTCACTTTATGCAGATGAGTTTCATGTGGAAAAGTCACCAATGAAGTTCTTAGCGGAAGAGATGTATGCTGGAAATTCTTTAAAAAACACAATCTGCCTTGGTAATGAGAAAGAACGGGAGAGAGTTTATGACACTATATTCCACCTACCTTGGAGGTGTGAACTGGTATGCAAGTCAAATGATGCTAAGAAACAACTTAATATGAAAAGCTGACATAAAAGTTATCATAGTTTCTGTTTTGCTCTTAAACTTGTTTGCCCTAAACTGTCAAGGAAGGTCGAACTCAAGCAATATCTTTTTGCATACATTTTATAGCCTGTACTTTCTGACCATCCTTTACCATGCTGTTTAGACATAACATTTGGATTTCTAATCTGTGTTACATGGCGTAAACATCACTTTGCAGCTCATAAATGTGGGTTTTTTTGTCTGCTTGGATTCGTTTCTCTCACTGCTAACTATTATGCCAACAAGGATCATCACGACCTTCTGGAAGTTTTTGAAATCTAGGTTGGACTATTCTCTTTTGCTAATTCTTTATACTTTAAATTTTAATAAGCATGTTGATAACACTCCTTTAGCAAGTGTCTAATAAATGAAATTTTCTGGGTAAAAACATGGGCTTCTAGCTTCAACATCTGTAAAGAAAATAGGTTAATGCTTTGATTCAATTTAAAAAGTCTGAACTCTGAGTTATTTTAAATTGAAAAAAACTATTGTTCCATGCAGTAAGTGTGTTTTTTGCCCCTGCTTGTTTTTGATTCACTAGGCTAAACATGAAAGGGACTTATGCTTTCTAAAATCACTTGGCTGGAGATACATGTGATATGCGAGATGCGAGTAGTCTAATATGTTTTGTGATGTTTAAAATGTTGCCTAATGAAGATGTGCATGTAAATATGTGAGTTGGAGTTCTTTACTGGTTAACAACAATGGGGGGCCGGGGGGTGTTTGGTTCACGGAATGTTAGATTCCTGTGTTTGGTTAAAAGTGAGGTATGTATTATAAACTTGTTTGGTTGAAGAGTTATTTTTATGCTATAATGGTTATTTTACTTTAATACCTTATTTTAATGTATTTCAGTAAACTTTGAAATTAAAATAAATAAATAAGGCAATGGTAAAATATGTAAGTAAAGATTTAAAAGTAATTGACTAAGAGCTTGAGAAACATAGTGTGTTTTGAAGGGATAGAAAAACTGAAAAAGCAATGGGTTAAAAAGGCAAAATTAGTAAAAATGCAAGGGAATGTGAGAATACTTAAGGAAGGGAAGGGTATCTCACTTTCCTTCCAAAATTGCTAAAAATCTTATGAGGAGGTTAAGTGACATTCTCTGGGAAAATTACATAACTTGAACCAACTATGGAAATCTTATATTCTCAAGCAAATATAACCTTGGTTATCTTACATATCTTGAACCAAA